GATACAGGACTAAGATGTCGTCGGTAAAGACAGCAGAGAGCAATGAGATTTCTTTACAAAGGTAAATTAAGGAATTACATTTACTTAATTATTTAATAAATCCATGTTATTGCGAATATTAATGTACTTGTTCATCATTGTGTCAGTGTTTTATAGGCAAGAACAACAAAGTGAGGAAACGCGCTCTTTAGAGCAGTTTGTCCGTTCTTAATCTCTTAAATTTTAAAATGTGTATAGGTAGTATTTATAAAGTTTTAGCTTTTAGTTTTGGATCTGTTTTTAGTTGTTTTAATACTACAATTGATTGCTTCTGTTGTCCTCATTTGTAAGTCGCTTTGGGTAAAAGCGTCTGATAAATGACTAAATAAATAATGTAAATTCAAAATAAATAACCAGTATAGTAACATGAGGGGGTCTAGTTTATTTTAACGGTTTATAAAAAATTAGTTTGTTTGACACCACAGTTTTTATAAAATATTGCCGTTGTAATAATAACAAGAAACCATCCATCGTTTTTGTTCCTTTGTAGGCTAATGGTTTTGCCTGGAAGACTTTTATTTTGAATTTTATCTTCCGGGTTTTCTTGTACGACAGGGCGTAGATGAGTTTCAGTCATTTCTGCCTTCACAGGCCTGCTGGAGGACTCTGTCAACAGGGAAGTGTCAAGATGGCCCCGAGTGGACTAAAAGCGATCGTAAACGAGAGTAAGTTTGATTTAATCTTGCAATACGGTCTTTAAAACGTATGCTGTTCGTGTAGCAAATGTTTCAGAGCTTACATAAGAATATATTAGCCTGTCAGGATGAATAATCATAGCAACAGGTGTACAGTGAGGGCTCGATACGTCCTAATGGACCGAACTTCCGTATGAAGCTGCTGAAGTTTACACACACTTTTATTCACTACAACTTCAACAAGGTTGAACTACTTTACTCAACACTTTTGCTCCACAGAAAATGTCATTTGTGTAATTGGAGGGGATAACAGACTTGTTTGCACTGCATTATTTAGTAAATGTTGTGTCAGTTGTGGTCTTGTGATCAACCTCACGCCGGACATAACAAAAACACAGGAAATGGCACTTTTTTTAAACTCTTGTGACAATGCACAACACCCTACACACTAACTCATATTGTTACATTATTACAATATTAGCTATTATTACATTTCACCAGGCCTATATTTTATTCTCATTTATCATAAGCATATAGATGTCATTTCTACTCTTCCTTCTTGCCGAATTGAACAATATAACAGCAACTGTATTTGGATTAGAACTTTTTGCGGCCTCATGCATAATAAAAAAAGAATCACATTTGTGATATCTATCTATCTATCCAAATAACCTTTATTAACCAGGAATGCAATTTGAGAACCAAACCTTAACGTCAGTCATTTATTTCTTTCTTATTTTTGTTAGTCCTTGTTTTGAAGCAAATACTCCAGGAAGACATTTAACCTGCTTTATAAAGCTAAAGCTCATCACCATAAGGCTCAGCATCATTGTAAATGCCATAAACAAACAGCTTTCTCATAGTTTTCCTGTAATAAACACTATAGGTGATGTTGATGTTGTCTAACTACATTGCTGATCCCATTTGTCTGTAGAAATCCTCAGTGGTGTCATCAAGAGTGTGAAGAAAGATGGGGAATGGAAGGTAATATTGGTACAGTAGAGTGACATTTGATTCTTTTCAATCTGTTTCCAAATAACTCGCTGTATCGTTGTTGTGTGTATTTAGGTGCTCATCGTGGATCACATCAGTATGCGGATTCTGTCCTCTTGCTGTAAAATGTCTGACATCATGGCAGAGGGCATTACAAGTGAGTATATTTCTTTTTTCTTTCTTTCACAGGTCAGTTTAGTATGTGATCATGTGATTCTCACAAGGTTTCACTGCAAAACACTTTTCATTATAAAAATGCCAGTGTCAGATATTAAAGTGTGAAAGGTGTTTTTTACATTAGGCTGCTAGCTGTTGCAAATTTTCCGGTGTGCTAAAGAGGTTTTTATTGCAAAATGTGTCGGTATTACGCTTCACTGCTTGGGACAAGAACCACTAGGAAAAATCTTGTATTAAGAAAACTAGATGCGAGGTGTCCTGTTTTCTTCACAGTTGTGGAGGACATTAACAAGCGGAGGGAGCCGATCCCTAGTCTGGAGGCCATTTACCTCATCTCCCCTGTGCCAAAAGTGAGCCTCTTTACTACCACACGTCTCACAGTTGAAGTGTTAATATAATGCCCAGTGTTGTTAAAAAAATTCTCTTTTAATTTCAATGATCTCATATCTGTATTTCAGTCAATTCATTCTCTAATTGGTGATTTCAAAGACGCAGCCTTCACATACAAAGCAGCACACATCTTCTTTACAGACAGTAAGACAATTGATTTGACTATTTGCTTTGATGTTTCTGTTTTGAAGAAAGTCCATCATGGTTGCCTACAGTGCATGGTCTGAATTTGTGTAGTTATTATATTGTCTATCTCTGTTCATCCTGCATTCAGCTTGTCCTGATGGGCTTTTTGCTGAGCTTGGGAGGCCAAGTGTTGCCAAGGCCATCAAAACCCTGAAGGAAATCAATGTGGCTTTCATACCATATGAGTTGCAGGTGCGTGGTAGCATTGCACGCACATACAGCAACTACTGTTCAAAAGTCTGGGGTCGGTA